CTTCCCTGGAAGCCGGTGGAGTACTCCTTGGCTGCGCCCAAGGTCTGGCCAGTGGCCTGTAAAGAAATCGCGTCAGTGGGAGGAGCTTTAGTGGGTACAAGCAGGCGCACCGTCAAGCCAGCAATGGATGCGGTGTCCGAGTACTGTTCACCGCTCACAGTCGAGCCGTCGCCGTACTGCAGGCTGAACGTCTCGCTGACGTCCTTCGAGGTAGAGCTAACCTTGTTGTCGTACACCGTGTGTCCAGAGCAGCTGTCGCTGCAGTCGGTTCCGGGGAGGAACAAGTCACTGCTGCCCGTGTCGAAGTCCACTGCAAGGGCGGCCATATGTCAGGAGCAAACGACCAGTGAAGTTCTTCGCAGGGGTACCAACGGAGATCTCGCCGACCAGAGCTGAGCGTTGTCGTCGGTGGGGGGATCGCCAGCGCCATCGCGCTTCACTGGGAGCTTGAGACCAGCGGCCAGATGATGTATCTCTCCGACGTTCTTCTCGAATGCTGCGAAGCCCTTCTGAATCTTACTGACAAAATAAAGTGTGCGTTGAGTATTCCCGAAGATCGAAAATGCGAGATACGCACGTCACCGAATTGCGGAGCGAGCCTCGGAGGACAGTCGCGTTCACCGTCCCATCAGCGTTCAAGAGCGTGGATCGCTTTGCGATGGGAACAGACAATCCGCTGGAGGTGCTCGTGAACGGAGCAGCTTCGACGAGGAAAGGAAGGGCGGCAAGGACGAAAGCAGCAGGGGAGTACATGGCAGCACTGGAAGGAATGCTAGAACTCGCGTTTGAGCTGGACGGAGTGCTTGGAATGACAAGCTGCGAGTGTGAGACCTTTTATGTATACTTAATTATTTCATGGAGGGTTTGAGCCTGCTCGAACATGTGCGTATCTGCGGGATGTAGCAACAAATCTAGACACTGTATTCTGAACACACTGCTTGCAGTCCGGTAGGTCCCGGTCAGCCGTCCGGCTCCCAACCAGACCAGACGGCGGCTCCGGTCATCGGTCATCGGCCGGTCACCGATGTCATGTGCGCCATGATGAAATTACTGGTCGGCGGACCGCAAAACGGCATCGGTACCATCGGAGGCTCGGACCGTCGACCGAACGATGCGATTGCTGATGTAATTATCACTATTCTTGATCACGATCTACATGTGACCATCGATCACGATCTGCGACAGGCATTCGACGCCGTCGGCAATCGACATCGCCGTTGGATGCTTTCTGAAGTACGGCGCACCCCACGCTACGACTGAGTCGTCTACGGTCGCATCTTCCACACCCACTTTGTAACGAGTGCATCTCGACATTGTGAGCCCAAGCAGACATCGCCGTGACCCGCTCGGTTTGACTTGCGGAGTAAAGATTTAGCACCGCCATTTACAATACAAATTCAGGTTCGGACCTACCTATTCGGTTCACCTTTGCGTTGACGAAGGGTCTCTGCGCTGCATTACGGACGATTCCTATATGCGTGTGCCAGCGCCATTGTTCGGGATTTGCATGCCCACCAAGGATGCCTCCTTTACCTCCCATAGCACATAGTGCATAAAGAGTCTCGCGCCCGAGGCGAGGCGAGGATCCTTCTTCTGGAGAGTGCTTATCTCCTTGAATTTCACCCTACGGGCTACGGCTAGATATCCAAAACTGGTTCTTGCGAAGTTTGGCTGCTGCGCTCTTAGTCCCTTATTGTCGTGAACCCTGCATATTGTGTTACGGCCATCGCTCTGTCGCTCATATCCCTGTTCAGGCCTGTATTCAATTAAGGAACCGCGCTTATTGCCCACAAATCCATCCGGATCATTAAGCGCAACTAGTCGGGCGTTCCGATTTTAATACTGCAAGCAGCAACGTTGAACTCGCGTGCCCCGTGTCGTTCGGCGGTGCAGACCCCTGAGCGTATAAATGCAAGGGTCAGTATATAAACGCGAGGCAGCCTATAGACAACTCGTCCGCCCACATCGCTACCTATCGCTACTGCGCTGGTCATGGTTCCCTTCCTCGTTCCAGTACACCAACCCCCAAGAGGCAACCAGCGGCACCCTCGGCCCAGGGCAGCAGTCACAACAGCCTGCCCCTTGCCGCTGTCGTCGTCATGCGATGCCTTGGTTCCTACTCTGACTTCGGACGCGCCCTACCTCATGCCGGAACATGCAGTATCCCTCGTCATCCAAAAGAGCTGTCAGTCTCCGAAACGCAGGAAACCGCTCTTGTCTTGGTTCCTGCGGAGCAAGCGCACAAACGACGACCCGCCGCCGTATTGAGACATAGGCCATACTTCGAATGGTAGGTTCGCACGTTGTTTGCAAAAGATGGGTACACTGACACGGACTGCGGGAATACTAGCTAGCTCTTCTTGGGTCCTAGCAATAGTGGCAGAGTCCGGCGGATCCAGAGCCTCCGGTAGCAATGGTCAAGGAGCTGGTTTCCGTAGACTCGGTTGTGGTTGGGTTCCTATGGTTGTATCGGTAACCACACACCCCTTATATCACGAGCTAGGGTCGGGTTTCAGTAAAGCAGACATTGATTGACTCGGATAGATCTGTGTAGGCGCGCTTAGATATCGTCCTGTCGTATATCGATATCATACAGCTGGCGCGTGCGCTAGGCTCCCTTTCATATGGATCGTGACTTTTTTGAGCAACTGGAGCCTGGAGGGGGGCTCCCAAGGAGCACAAAAGGGGGCGGGGACAACAGGCGTAACTGTACTGGCGACACGGGCGCAGCAGCGATAAGAGGTGATCCGGTGAGGGAAAAAATATGACAACAGTGGGATTCGAACCCACGCCCTTTCGGACTGGATGAGGTGATACCTGATTCCAGCGCCTTAGACCGCTCGGCCATATTGCCATGTACTCGCTGACACAATTACGTATTCTTACCAGCTGCGAGATTGAGTCGTTGGACGGCAAACTGCCGCGCAACCGTCAAGTTCCTAGTCTCCGTCATAGTCAACTTTCTCAACATCACAACCCCGACCTTGGACCGAGAACATCAAGTTTGGGAATCGCTACCCAACTTCAAGTCTAAGTAGAACAACTCCACGGGGAGTTTAGCTGTTGGACATACCATTCTGGGCCAAGTGCTCAACAGGTCTGTACGATCGCTTGAGCGTTCGTGAAGGGAGCTCTGAACGGTATGCACAGGCTATAGCCACCTCCCGCAAAGAGCGATCACAATGCAGCCCAACCGGCTAGGACTTGGTCTGCGTCCTCCTCTGCAGTCGTACGGGCAAGGCCCCTCAATGTCGGCTCTTGCACAGCAGCAGCAAATGCAGAACCAAGGCTTCGTGCCACCACAAGCGCAGAAGCAAATTACCCTTTTTATTGGTTCAATATCGGGCGGTATCACTGACAATTTCCTCAATGAACTTCTTTCCGTGAGTGTAGCACCCGACCATTCCTCCCACCGTTCTACTCACCAGGCGTTGATAGTCTTGTGGGGTCGTCAAATCCTTCAAGAGGTTGATCACACCTGCAAACAAGCCACAGGGGTTCGGTTTTGCTGAATATGAGGATGCCGACGGTGCGCTGCGAGCAATGGCATTGCTAAATAACATTGAGCTGCCTGCCTTGGAGGATGGCTGTGTCAACAAAAAGCTACTGGTGCGTTGTTGTAACACATACACTCTCTAAGAATCTCACTGGTCTTCCAGGTCAAGGGAGATGAAAAGACCAAGGTGTTTCTTGACGCGTATCAGGCTCAACGGATGCAGACAAGCGTACGTCGTTATCGCTCTTTTGCGTTTTCGGTTCCTTGCTGCGGCGCATGCATTACATATATGCGCCTCCATGGTGGCAGGTCCCCGCATACAGTGCCGTGTGGGCTGTGGCACGCATCCTTGTGTCTCTCGCCCCCTTTCTTTCTACTCTAACCTGTCTTATATTCTTCAGGCCGACGATGAGGCTTTGCAAAGAGCCAAGAATCGTGTCAATCAGCTGATCAACGACATCAATCGTGTCTCGCAAGAAGCTGCCAACAACGGGCTGCTTGATAAAGAGCGCTACGTAATCCCACCACATTTGCACGACCTCCAAGAAGCCGACCTTCCAGAAACCCAACGCGGACTTGTCATCTCAGAGATTGCCCAGTTCCGCGAGCGCGCAGCGAAGCGCGAACGCGAGAAACTGCGTGATGTCCGAGCGGCCGTACCAAACCTCAGCGTTGTCTCCGCTCAGCAGAGTGCTCCCAAGGTCCGCGAATGGGGGAAGCCTCAGGTCGCCTCCGAGGCTCAGCCGGCGCCACTTGGCCAGGATCCTCAGCAGGGCTACGCAAAGCCCGTAGGATTCGTCAAGGCTAGTGGCCGCGAGCGCGAGGACGAGCGCCAAGTACCTGGGAAGGCTGGCAAGACGGACGAGGAGCTCGAGCAGGAGCGGAAAGAGGCACGACGGCGTGACGAGGAAAATTCGTTCCGAGACGTGCGCAGCATATATTACCCTCTTCGCAGTGCTCTACTCACATGACTCTCCTCTTTGCAGCGGGAGCGCCGATACGAACCACGGGAGCGCAACCGCATCCAGACCCTCGAACGTTCCATCACACGTGAGCGCGCCACGCGCGAGGCCGAGGAGCGCGACCGCACTGAGATGCGCGCCCGACTGGACGTCTGGGACGACGACGAATCCGACGAACTCTTCTACACCGACCGCGCCCGTTGGCGCGCCCAGCGCGCGCGGCGACTCGCTGCCGAGGAAGCCGCCGACAACGAGATGCGCGCGTACGAGGCACGTGAGGCGGAGAACCTGCGCCGCGAGAGCGAGGCGTTCCTGGCGCGGCAGATGGATGAGCTGCAAGCCCTCGCGGAGGAACAGCGCAAGGCTGGCATGCTGCTCGACGACGGCGCGCCCGTGCGGCTGAACGTCTCGCTCGCGCCAACTGGACCCAAGGCGGACGCGGCAGCCTCAAAGGAGAAAGCGCCCGCGCAGGCTGTATTCAGTGCCGAGGACGAGGAGGAGGAGGCGACCCGCAAGCGCAAGGTGCCTCTACAACTCCTCGACTTCAGCGCGGCGAACGACAGCGAGAAGGCCAAGGAACGCTTGGAACGCATCAAGTCGTCTGTGCCAAGCGACCGTGAGGTGTTGTTCAAGTCGAAGGTCCGGTGGGATGCAGTCACCGAGGTGCGCTGGAATTCTCCTTCAACCACGCCCATTCGCTGATGCATGTGCCCCAGCAACTCATTGATCGGAAGATCGAACCACTTGTGAAAAAACTTATGGTCAAGTACCTCGGCGAGCTCGACGATGACGACGTCGTGATGTTCGTTCTGGAACACATCAAGGACCATAAGAGCCCATCAAAGCTAGTAGATGGCCTCGAGCCAGTATGTGTCGTTTCAGTCGTTTCAACGCCATCTTGAACTCGTGTTGTGATTTAGGTCCTTGACGAAGAAGCTGTCGAGTTCGCCATCTCCGTATGGCGACAAGTAATTTTCGAAAGCATGGCGTATGGTGAAGGTCTGCACACGGAGCGGATGATGGTAGATGGATGAGAACGGATATCTGGACAGGGCAGGTGCGTTTCCGGCGAACCTATCCTTTTCGGGCGGTTGTTCGACGGCGAGAATGGTGGGGAGAGTCTGTAGTATTTTCGGCGGGCGGAGCAGGCAGGGGCACATGCCACGGGGCGGACAATGCGGAACCGGCTGACGACCGCGTGAGTGACCCTTTCGTTCCGCCGCCACTGTAAAGATGATTTCTGCTACGCGCCTTTTCTTCTTGATCTCTTGATATCTGAATCACTCTTCCTTTGCGGATAACGCGCGCGCGTGAGGCCGGACACCGCTGAGTGGCCCATTTCCTTGTCTTGCCCGAGAGTACATTGATCATCCCGGCTACCACCGCCATGCATGTGGCGTGGGGTGTGGTCCTTAGGGTATGCGCAACTGGTTGGTCTGCGGATGCAGGATTTTGACTTGGGATGTCATGTAAAGCCGATTTTGTCTGGATGACTGCTGAGGTGAGTTCGTTTCGATGGTCGTTAGTTATTGCGCGTGATGCCGTCAGCTATTGTCCGAATTGCATATGCATCCCCTCTGCCACAATCCTCGGGCGGTGATTAATGGGCTCGGAAGCCGGGACCGATCCAATAATTACAACTCGTTTTATTGGCTCCGCTAGCGAAGAAGCTCCAACTCGCTCTGACAGTACTTACTCCGAGACGTCTCAGCGGGCAATCACACGTCTCATGACACGTTGCCTGGTAGCGGCGTTGGTAAACAGCACTTTATGCAAGCCCAGCTTCCTACGTAATGCACATAATGTTTGCGCTCGTCGGAAACCCGGAAGTGCCTGCAAGGTGTCAAGGGTGGCCAGATGCTTCCTCCCCTTCAATGCACTGGGATGGGTGCCAGGGCTTAGCAATTTCAGGCAAACTATAGCTCACGTCATTCACCATTGTGTGCGAACATGACTAGCTGCAGATGCTTTGAGTACAACAAAGAGTATGGGTAATATTATGCTGCGCAATCCCAGTACAAATGATAAATATGCGTCCAAGAAACCGCCTTTTCCACCCCTAGGCGCGCTTTATGCGAGCAGCTGCAGGCCCACGGTGACGAGCGCGAGGGCAACAAGCACGTGCGGCGCGGCGGCGAGATGCGCCGCGCCGTTCTTCTTGCCTGCACTGCTGCTGCTGCTGCCGGTCGCCGCGGCCGCTTCAGCCAGCGGGTCGGGGCACACTGGCGCGACGAGCTGTGGGCCGAAGTTGCTCGCGACCCAGAGCAGGACGCCGTTCGTCCAGCCAAAGCCGGCCTGCACGGTGTACTCGCCGCCGCGTCCGCCGCTGTCGATGTCGCGGATAGAGAACTTCTCGAACATCTGCAAGTGAGTTGGTTAGGTGAGCAAGGGAGCAGGGGCACGAGAGAGATGGCACGCACATTGCCTGTATTGTTGATGCTCAGGCTTACGTTCAGCTGTTGGTCCGTGAGACGCGGGAGGAGGTTCGGGATCGAGCCACCGGTGGCGTGCCTATCCCAGAGCGTGTCAATCAGAGAAGGAACGTAGCGCAAGGAGTACCCACCAGCTGCACAGTGTGCTCGTGAAGTAGCGGTTCGCAAGGCTGCGCGCGAGCGCGTCACGCCAGCCTTCGCCGCTAGTCGCGTTGCCACCGTTCACGAACGTGCCGTTCAGGGCATTGAGATCCGCACCACTGCCAGTGCCCGACGCGTTCTGGCCGCCGATGGTCTGTACAGGGAGTGACGTCTCATCGAGACCAAGCTGGCCGCTCGGTACAAGCGCGAATGCGGACTGGCCATTGGGCGGCTCGGGAATCGCACCGCTGGAGACGTTCGCTGGGAGGGCGCGTAAAGCCTGAAGGGCAATGTACTGATGCGGCGGCCACGCGTTCGGGGCATCCCATTGGAGTCCAGACTCAACGAACGTGGTCGGATACGTGCCGTTGTAGCGACTTAGGACCATGTTGATGCTCGAGAAGAAGCCAAAGGCGTTCGTAGAGTTGGAGAGGATCTCATCGGGGATGATTCCAGCCCAAAGAGGATAGAACGTTGCAGTCGAGAAGAAGTCGTTGCGCGCGTTAGAGGTCGTGTTGAAATCATAGAATGCGAGTTTCGAGGGGTCCCAGAAGAGGTCAAGGATACCCTCGCGAATGTTCGTTGCAGTGGCCTGATGCTGAGCAGCGGCGGTGCTGTTCGCATTACTGCCGGACGAGTAAAAATTCGCAAGAATGAGGTTGGCTCTATCTACAGTATATGTCAGCTCATTTTCGCGTTCACCAGATCAGCAAACTCACAAAGGATAGAGTTCAGGTCGATGGAATCGTGCCCTTGACGTTGAGAGAACGAAGGGCAGGGTTTGTATTGTTGATTCCACCAGCAAGAGGTGTGACAATGAAAC